CTATACTCGTTCTCTGCAACGTTGGCGTTTGCAAGATAACCGGGCAACTGGCTAAGCAGGACCAAATCAAAATAAACTTAATAATAAACATTACCCCGCTCACCTCCTGTAGGATTCTGCCTTAAACGATTTTGTTCCAATCATCTACCCTGTGTTTGGTCTGCACAGTTTGTATGTATGTTGAACTTTTTTCGCAAGATGTACATATCGAACCGTGCTAATCTGTGGGTCTCTATGGGTCTGGGTGTCTGTGGGTCTCTGTGGATGTTGAATTTGTTTGTAACATACGGAGCCAACTGTGCTAATCTGTTGGTCTCTATGGGTCTGGGTGTCTGTGGGTCTCTGTGTATGTATGTTTTAAAACTTTTTTCGCCCTGTAGGTAGCCAACCTTCCTAATCAGAGGTGCGGGGGGGGGGGGGGAAGGACAACAAACTGAACACAAAGCAGTTCCAAATAAATTATTTTTCAATTTAGATTTGACAGTGCATTGCTCCAGTGGCTTCCTAATATCGGAAGGAAGAGCATTCCTGACGGCCTCAGAAAGTCACCTGAACGCGCGTGATGCAGTGACCGACTTTGTTCAACGGCAAGCCAAGCATGACCAGAGTTTCACGTGATGGTTTATGTGTTGAGACGCGCTCGTGTGAAGTCCTCTCTCCCCGTTCGCTCAGGACTTGAGCGCTCCCCACTGCCAGTTCCTCCGAGTGACTTGGACTGTGTGTGACGTGAGCTGGCTGAGGGGAGTCATTGAGAAGCTCAACTTCCTGTCTACCACGTGAGTTCATATTAACATGGCCAAGACACACACGTATTTATGTTAAACTTATTTTCAACCGTAATCGGAGGATTTGTCAGAATTTGTCAATGTTCATGGTTCTGAACAATTTGTCACGATAAATTCTACTGCAATGGATGGAACCGTTCTCTTCTTGGACACACGCATTGCTGCTTTTCATTGTCAAATTCGGTTTTCCAATGGCACTCCCACAAGCTCTCCCCCACGCTCGGTCATATTCCAAAATGCGTGACTGTTAAATCACGCGATATGACACGAGAAATTAGTGATGAATAAGGAACGGGCGAAATGTTCGTTCCATTGTAACAAATGAGTCCAATCGTTGCTTCTCTGAGGCACAATTAGGATGCATAGTGTACAGTGTTATTACTTACGGCTCATATCCAGACTTTCTTAGCATTTTTAGGATTTAGTAATCAAACTTGAGGCTGTTTAATCCAGACTCAGGCATCTTTTATAATTATTAGTGTTCAGTTTTTTACAACTTGAGCTCACAGATCCAGACTAAGGTATATATGCACAACAGTAAATTACCACTGCCCATATACACGACTGCAACACCTCGACGTCAATACGTCACAAACGAGTGTAATTCATTATTACATGAGCGTCATTCACACTACACGTGTGTATTATGGAATGAAGGTGCTGTTGCTATCCTGCTTGTGTGTGGAGGCAGTCGCCCTCCAACAACAACAGAGGGCGGAGGAGCGACGCTCACAACAATGAGCGGAGTGCCGGGTGGCTAAAGCACAGCAGGTTGGCACAGTAGGGGGCACAGGTGGTGCATCAGCCAGTCGTCTCAGTCAGTCGACCCGTGGCACCTGCTGGGTCTGCCCCGTGACCTCCTGCCAGCGGGCGTTCGACACTTCACGTGGCCTCAAGGTGCACATGGCCTGGCACAAGCGTCGTGGTGACGTCACCGCCACTTAGTGGCGAATGGCGGTTGTTGTTGTTGTACGCAAACATACGCTACGGCACTGCTGCTGCGATCCACTGCCACACACACCACCTCAAATCTCGCAAAGCTGAGCAGGTGTTGGGTCTGGGTAGGCCTCGCATGGGAGGCCACCATGCGTAGCAGGTGCTATAGGCTGCAGGGCTATGTGGCAGGCAGCAGATGGCATTGCAGACAAATACATTGCTGTACAGTACTCCTATGCTCTCACCAACTGTGCTGCCTGCAGAGTGCTATTGTTATTGTTGTGCTTTTTTAACCTTTATTATACGGGTACTGTGATCATCATTACTACAGATGGATGCTCATCGACTCGATTTAACCCAAAAGAACCTGTATTATGGACGATATTGTTCGCGAGCACCTACATGTGAAAACTGATTACCAAATCTCTGCGCTCCTCTATGTATGTTAAGATGTCTTTAGTCAATGAATGTTTGGGTGTGTGCATGTGGCAAGAAATTGGAGGACCCGGAGAAAAGCTGCATCCTAAAACGGCAGTACACTCAATCCCATACAGAAGGGACAGAAGATTTTAGTCCACACTTTGAAGATGTAGGGAGTTCTCCTCGGCTCCTTCAGGAAGTGAGCTTCAGTACATTCGAGGGGTCCCACCAACCCTCACCTCCACAGTGCGGGATTACAGGCCACGTGCATAGCCACCACTGATATCAAGATGTCAAACTGCCACCGTCAACTTTTGATTTAAAGCTTTCGTGACTACAGGGAGTCATATTCTTGGTTCTTTCGGTAAAGTCACGTAGAAGGGAAACAATAAAATAATAAAAATATAAAACAATAAAATTCTCACGACGTTTCGACTGCAACACAAGCAATCATCATCAGGTGTGAAAACCACAACAAAAAAGATTTGAACACAAAGCAGACCTGAAACACGGTAGGACCAACACCTCGGCCGTGGCAGATCACTGTTATAATTCAGTAGGCTCACATGACATTGACTTCTCCAAGACAGAGTTTCTCTGCAAGCCATCTGGCTACCATGAGAGATTCGTTCGTGAGGCTATCCACATATACAAACTGAGACAATTTCAAGCGAGAAGATGGATTCTGGCTTAGCAATCATTGGAAGGATTTGATAAACCATCTCGGGTCTTAATTGATTGTTCACGCTTACAGTGGCTTTCATACCGCATCCATTATTTTTCGTCTCCCCCCTCCTCTTTTCCGAACATAGATGGACTCGTCCATCTGAACAAACTGCCAAATCGCTCTCCGTGGTGCTAACGTTAAAAATAACCGCCACTTTTTTCAAATTTTCTTGTTGTGGGTTTCACACCTGATGATGATTGCTTGTGTTGCAGTCGAAACGTCGTGAGAATTTTGTTTTATATTTTTATTATTTTATTGTTTCCCTTCTACGTGACTTTACCGAAAGAACCAAGAATATGCCACCGACAAGCCACAGAGACGAGGAATCTCACCACCATGTGAGCCCATACATCCCAGCACAGTAAACACGTTCAGATATAATGTTTTTATTCATTACCACACACACATTGACCCTTGACCCACAATAAAATGCGATTCCAATTCACAGGTAACCCAATCAAGTCTATGCATATTTACGCGATCTAACCCAAGACACCTTTATTATGAATAATATTGGTCGCGAAAGCCTACGTGTTAAAGTCTACTTGTTTAACCAGGTGAGAGTGACTGTTGCTGCTTTTGCTGCTGCTACTGATGATGATTCTGTTGCTGCTGATAATGCTTCTATTATTTTTGATGCTGTTGGTACTACTCCTGATGCTGACGATGATTATGCTAATGATGGAGCTACTGCTGCTGATGCTGTTGGTCCTGCTGCTGTTACTAATTCTTCTGCTGATGATACTTCTGCTGATGATAATGATGACCGAGTCGAGTTGAATTTAAATTTAACGAGGTGAGAACTCTGGAGACCAGGAAGAGTCTCATTGACAAGAGTGACCTAAGTCACACAAATGAAAAAAATCAAAACAAGTCAAACCCATGCCAGAAATGACGCAAGTAGAAATCTCACCCCTAGCCCAGAGCACAATGCGATTCGCGTTCACACAACTACACAACTGGTACGATATAATCAATGCGTCTCATATTAATCTACGCGTTGCTAAACAGCCTGAGACTCGAGTTAGATTCACACCAGATTGGTGTCTCACGTTAAGAAGGGGCGCTGCGGTGGCTCGGAGATGTTAACTCCCTCGCCTGGTATGCAGGAGGTCGTGGGTTAGATTAGTACCGTGACAGCTGCTGTATATTTGGAGTTCGCATTGTCATTATCTCTGTAATAACACAGTGTCTGTGTTATTAATGCGTGTTGAGACAATATTAGGCGTGTTGTTGTGTAAGGTAGATCTTCACTCTAGATATATATCAGGCTTAATTAAATAACGGACTTCAAAGTCAAGAGACAGTTCCAATTTTTGTCAGCAGAGGAAGGCGTTATCCCATGAATCGAATGTTGTGGCTGGAGGTCCAAAGATAATTAAAACAATAAACAAAACCAACCTTTATTACGGAATATATTGGTGGCGAAAGCCCTCCTACTGGGTTTTAAAATGGCTTCTTTCTCTCTTAGCCCTGTAAAATAAAGTGTGAGTGGAGGAGTCACTCAACCCCTGGTTATGACAAACATGTCATAGTGATGCCATCCCATTCCCACCCCATTCCCACCCCGGGCTTATCGCCCAACGAGCGAGTGACCGCGAGGGGGACGGCGCGCGTCACCCCGTAGCGTCACGTGACGCGTGTTCCCAGCACGCCCGCGGTGGAGCTCCGCCCTCTCGGCGTTGAGCGCCACGCGGCGTGCGGTGCGAGGGACGATGGCGTCAGAGAGAACCTTAAATCCCCCCCCATCCCCCCACAGTGCGCTAACCACTGCACCACCGCTCCACCCCACACTACACACATGCCCCTCTATATACTAAAGACAAAGATTCACCGCGTATCCTTAACAGACTGTTGGGGCAAGTTCTGTAAGTAGCGAGCAGCAACTATTAAGGCTGGCACTGTGACACACGAGGCGGTGGGTGGCAAGCACCATGTCCAGACACACACAAAGACAAAGACACACACAGACACAGGCACAATAACAAAGACACAGAAAGGCATAAACACACCAACCCACTCACCCAGACAAATATCCCACGTATATCCTTAACAGACTGTTGGGCCAAGTGTTGTTAGCGACCACCTATCAAGGCCGGCACGGCACACAAGGGGGTGGGTGGACAATACCACGACTGACCCGCCTTTGTCTCCCCAGTGGCGATGTTTCCACACCACACCAGGAACTCATTTGAGGCTGAGTCGACCCTAGGGGAGACCCAGGACCGAATCAGATAATCGGCAATGGTGTTGGCGAACGGGTCATGGGCCTCCCGTAGGTCGACTCAGCCTCAAATGAGTTCCTGGTGCGGTGTGTAAACGTTACCACTGGGGAGACAAAGGCGGGTCAGTCGTGGTGTTGGCCACCCACCCCCTCGAGTGCCGTGTCAGCCTTCTGAGGCGTTTGCTAACAGCCCTTGCCCCAACAGTCTGTTTAGGCTGCACGGGGGATCTGTGTCTTTGTGTGCGTGAGTCTGTGCGTTGTGCCCGTTTCTCTGCGCTGCTCACACTCCGTGCTCTCAGGACGCACGACTCAGATCCAGAATCCTCACTGAGTCACCAACAACAACACCCCACACACTCAGTGCGGGGTAGAGAGGCTGACTAAACGCGTGGTGAATGCAGTGCAGCAGCTCCATGGAGTCGGCGCGGTAAAACGACAGCAGCCCCGCCTCCCAGTGCAGGTGACACCCGACTCTCCGGGGAGGATCCCTCACCGGCACTGAGGTAGCTACACCACCATGACGCACGTAGCAGCTGTTGTTGTTATCTTTATATAACACCCAGGATGAGTCGTTCTGTCCCAGCCTGCACTCTTTACCACGCCCTTTCCGTGCGATCGTCCCGTACGTGACTCCAACCTGACAGCGCCGCGCCGCACCCCCCACGTCCACCTCCCAGTAGTGCTGACCCGACGAGAAGCTCTCTGAGCACAGGGCTTGTGCATAGCGATCAAAGCGGTGTGGGTGATCGGGGCGACGCTGGGAGACAGCGGTCAGCGTCACCGTCCTGAGGTCCGAGGAAATCTGGAGTTTGTTGTGGGCCGAGTTTGGGTCCACAGTCGGTGAGCGTCCGTCTGCAGTAACGATAATCACAGTAGCCGTGGTAACAACAGCACCACTTTAACAATATCACTCGTGCACTAACACGCACGCACACTACAATAGAGCAATTCATAATGGGCATTGTTACACAAGGTTGTAGCGCGTAGCTAGCGGTGTGATGACATCTAACGGGCACTTTGTGAATCCGCTGCTAGATGAGGGCCTCCCTGCACCATGCGGGTCGTGGGGGATATTGACCATACTTCACCACGCCGGTTACCGTGCGTTGGCGAAGGCAGGCGAGAGCACAGAAGTACAGTACAACGGTGCGTTTGTCTGCACTGCCAGCTGCTGCCCGCCAAGTAGCCCCGCAGGCTGTAGCACCTGCTAGGCAGGGTGGTGACTGTCCCACCACGTGACCCCGCAGCCTGTAGCACCTGCTAGGCAGGGTGGTGACTGCCCCACCACGTGACCCCGCAGCCTGTAGCACCTGCTAGGCAGGGTGGTGACTGTCCCACCACGTGACCCCGCAGCCTGTAGCACCTGCTAGGCAGGGTGGTGGTGGCTGTCCCACCACGTGACCCCACAGCCTGTAGCACCTGCTAGGCAGGGTGGTGACTACCCCACCACGTGACCACGCAGCCTGTAGCACCTGCTAGGCAGGGTGGTGACTGCCCCACCACGTGACCCCGCAGCCTGTAGCACCTGCTAGGCAGGGTGGTGACTACCCCACCACGTGACCCGGCAGCCTGTAGCACCTGCTAGGCAGGGTGGTGACTGCCCCACCACGTGACCCCGCAGCCTGTAGCACCTGCTAGGCAGGGTGGTGACTGCCCCACCACGTGACCTCGCAACCTGTAGCACCTGCTAGGCAGGGTGGTGACTGTCCCACCACGTGACCCCGCAGCCTGTAGCACCTGATAGGCAGGGTGGTGACTGCCCCACCACGTGACCCCGCAGCCTGTAGCACCTGCTAGGCAGGGTGGTGGTGGCTGCCCGTGCGGGGCTTTGCGAGGTGCCAGGAGGTGGGGCGCTCTGTCCGCTAGGGCTGCACGATTTGGGGAGAATCTCTGATTGCGATTTTTCTGACATTGCGATTTGATTTGCGATTAAAAAACATTGTAAATCAAGCTTCAGTTCGATATTCATTGTGTAATAGATTTAAAACACGTGATGGAGCATTACCACGTGATACCATCACGATATGAACTGCTCTTTCTATTCTATTGCAAGGATGAGAACTTTAAAGATATTAATTGTTTCCAACGTGTATTTATTAAAATATTTTAATTAAAAAAGAACAATCAAACATGTAAAAACTGTTAAGTTAAATAAATTCATATTAATAAAACACGAAACAATTCCAAATAGAGACTGACAGGACTTTTTAAATCGCAAAAAATCGTAGCCTTTGCGATTTGCTAATCGCATTGTTTCTAATTGCGATTTCGATTTGGAATCGATTAATCGTTCAGCCCTACTGTGCGGTAGTGCCCGTGGGAGGCAGTGGATCACAGCAGCAGCAGCGTTGATATAAACACCGCCATAGCGTCTCTGTGTGTGTACAACAAACACAAACATCTCCCGTGTGTCACCTTTCACAGACTGTAGGAGCAAGTGCTGTTGGTGAGCACCTGTGAAGGCCGGCACACGAGGTGGGTGTGATGGTGTAGTGATGTACACTCGTGTGTGTGATAGTGTAGCGATGTACACTGTGTGTGTGATAGTGTAGTGATGTACAATCGTGTGTGTGATAGTGTAGTGATGTACACTGTCTGTGTGTGATAGTGTAGTGATGTACACTCGTGTGTGTGATAGTGTAGTGATGTACACTCGTGTGTGTGATAGTGTAGTGATGTACACTCGTGTGTGTGTGTGATAGTGTAGTGATGTAAACTCGTGTGTGTGTGTGTGTAATAGTGTAGTGATGTACACTCGTGTGTGTGATAGTGTAGTGATGTACACTCGTGTGTGTGTGTGATAGTGGAGTGATGTACACTGTGTGTGTGTGATAGTGTAGTGATGTACACTCTGTGTGTGATAGTGTAGTGATGTACACTCGTGTGTGTGTGTGTGTGATAGTGTAGTGATGTACACTCTGTGTGTGTGTGATAGTGTAATGATGTATACTCGTGTGTGTGTGTGTGATAGTGTAGTGATGTACACTGTGTGTGTGTGATAGTGTAGTGATGTACACTCGTGTGTGTGTGTGTGATAGTGTAGTGATGTACACTCAGTGTGTGTGATAGTGTAGCGATGTACACTGTGTGCGTGTATGATAGTGGAGTGATGTACACTCTGTGTGTGTGTGATAGTGTAGTGATGTACACTCGTGTGTGTGTGTGTGTGTGATAGTGTAGTGATGTGCACTCTGTGTGTGTGTGTGATAGTGTAGTGATGTACACTGTGTGTGTGTGATAGTAGTGATGTACACTCGTGTGTGTGATAGTGTAGTGATGTACACTGTGTGTGTGTGTGATAGTGTAGTGATGCTGCTGCTGAGACTGGAGCGTGCCACTAAGAGGTGGGGCCTTACCATCAGCCCCACCTAAACTAAGCACCTGCCTGGGTATTTTGTACCATCGGACACTCCACCCCCACAACTCCCAATCGGTGATGGGGCAGTTGTGGAGAGAGTGGAGAGTTTCCCATACCTGGGCAGTGTGCTTATGACTGGCTCCAGTTTAACAGCAGAGGTCTCACTCCGAATCAGTCGAGCGGCAATATCTTTTCATCGGTTGCGTAACGCTGTGTGGAAGCTACCTGGTCTGTCGCTCCGCACTAAGCTTCAGGTCTTCTCGGCCACGGTCATTCCCTCCCTTCTCTACGCTTGCGAAACGTGGACCCCCCTAATGGAACATCTTCGCCGGTTAGAAACATTTAGGCTGGCCTGCCTACGATCCATCCTGGGTTTAACCAGACTGGATTGTGTGAGGAGCTCACAAATCCTTGAAAGATCTGGGCAGGGTCCCATCGGTGAGCTCCTCCGGCAGGCAAGGCTGCGATGGCTGGGTCATGTAGCCCGCATGTCCAGCCACCGCATGCCGAAACAGCTTTTGTTTGGCCGGATTGAGGGAGCTAAGCGGGCGCGGCACGGGCTAGAGAAGAGATGGAGTGATGTGGTACAGGAGGACGTGGAGCTGAGTGGACTTGCCGATGACTGGTACCAGCGGTGTCAAGATCGGCCTCTGTGGAGGAGGCTCGTGAAGGATGCTACTGGGCAGTTGGAGGCAGTCGCCCTCCAACAACAACGGAGGGCGGAGGAGCGACGCTCACAACAGCGAGCGGAGCGCCGGGTGGCTAAAGCACAGCAGGTTGGCACAGTAGGGGGCACAGGTGGTGCATCAGCCAATCATCTCAGTCAGTCGACCCGTGGCACCTGGGTCTGCCCTGTGACCTCCTGCCAGCGGGCGTTCGACACTTCCCGTGGCCTCAGGGTGCACATAGCCTGGCACAAGCGTCGTGGTGACGTCACCGCCACTTAGTGGCGAATGGCGGTTGTTGTTGTTGTTGTAGTGATGTACACTGTGTGTGTGTGATAGTGTAGTGATGTACACTCTGTGTGTGTGATAGTGTAGTGATGCACACTGTATGCGTGTGTGATAGTGTAGTGATGTACTCTGTGTGTGTGATAGTGTAGTGATGTACACTGTGTGTGTGTGATAGTAGTGATGTACACTCGTGTGTGTGATAGTGTAGTGATGTACACTCTGTGTGTGTGTGATAGTGTAGTGATGTACACTCGTGTGTGTGTGTGTGATAGTGTAGTGATGTACACTCGTGTGTGTGTGATAGTGTAGTGATGTACACTTTGTGTGTGTGATAGTGTAGTGATGTACACTCGTGTCTGTGTGATAGTGTAGTGATGTACACTCGTGTGTGTGATAGTGTAGTGATGTACACGCGTGTGTGTGTGTCTGTGATAGTGTAGTCATGTACACTCGTGTGTGTGTGTGTGATAGTAGAGTGGGTGATAGTGTAGTGATGTACACACTGTGTGTGTGATAGTGTAGTGATGTACACTCTGTGTGTGTGTGATAGTGTAGTGATGTACACTCGTGTGTGTGTGTGTGATAGTGTAGTGATGTACACTCTGTGTGTGTGATGGTGTAGTGATGTACACTCGTGTGTGTGTGATGGTGTAGTGATGTACACTCTGTGTGTGTGATAGTGTAGTGATGCACACTCTGTGTGTGTGTGATGGTGTAGTGATGTACACTCGTGTGTGTGATGGTGTAGTGATGTACACTCGAGCTCCTATGAAGGCCGTGCCGGCCTTCATAGGAGCTCGCTAACAGCACTTGCCCCAAGAGTCTGTTAAGGCCATACGAGGGATCTCTGTCTATATCAACGTATCGGTAGATATCGATTCGTGTTCTTTTGTACTTAACTTCTTGTTGCCTGTGTAGTGATTTAGGTTATGCCTTGGTCTGGCTGTCTAATAAACACTAAAGTGTCCTTCGATTCTGAGAGCTTCAGGCTGTAACACGAACCCTAAGAATCCTCAACTCGTCTGAGTCTGGATCTCTCAGCCTCAAGTACTCTAATAATTAAATCCTAAGAATCTTCGGCATAATAGCGTGTGTATAAACCACACTCACACGCATGATAGCAACAGCTTGCTAACTCGATCGTATACACACGTGTGGTGTTAATAGAGGCCATGTAAGAGTGATGTACACTCGTGTGTGTGCAGTGCCAGATTATCCTCGTAGCAAAAGTAGCTACAAATGCTACGGGCCCGGGCACTTTCGAGGGCCTAAATGCTTTCAAGGTCTCAATTCTACTTCATTGATTCTACACTTGCGCTATTACTATAGTACTATACTGCCTTCAACTTTTATGAACGACTGGGTGTTTAATGTTAGCGATTTGTCGTATTATCTGGCTGTATAGGAAATGAAAAGATTAAATTACCTTACTTTGCAAGTTAAACATATGTATTTTAATATTTACGTGTATTGTTATTTATTTAGGGCCTCTTTAAAATATATGCTACAGGCTCTGCACGAGCTTAATCCGGCACTGCACACGTGTGGTGTTAATAGAGGCAATGTAAGAGTGATGTACACTCATCTGTGTTTGTGTGTGTGCTATATATCAATGTATAGATATATTGATATATGTTTTATTGTAATTACCTTTTTTCCTGTCTCGTGCTTTGCACAGCCAACCAAGCTTATGCGTTGGTCTGGCTTTCTGATAAACATCTGAATATGAACACAGAATCCAGGAGGTGCCTTTGATTCTGAGAGTTTCAGGCATCAACAATGCACCCCAAGAATCTTAAAGGTGTCTGAGTCTGGATCTCCCAGCCTCAAGTACGGTACTAACAATGAATCATATTAAACACAACCATAGCGTCTGTTTGTTAAACATTTTCACGCAAAATAGCAACAGCACCTCACTAATCATGAGGCCTCCTTTGACAGTACCAAAATATACTAATAGGGGTTTCCCCTTTTTTTATGGCAACAAAACTGACACCTTTTGCAAGGAATCATATCTACATTAACCACAATACTTGCAGTCAAAATGTAAACAAAAAACAATACTCTGATAATTTATGCATTGTCCTTGGACTCATCTGTTACATTGGAATGGACACTTCGCCCATTCCGTATTAATCAATTTTAAATGAATCAGAATGTTCACTATTTTACTGAGAGGCTCTCATCCCTTTTCAATTTCTCAGGTAATAACACGTGATATAACAGCCACACTTTACGTCTATGAGCAAGTGTGGGGGGAGCAGGTGGGAGTGCTATTAGACATCTGAACTTGACAATGAAAAGCAGCATAGCATGTGTCCAATCAGTGAAAGTTTTCAATCAGTGCAGTGGCCCCTATTGTGTTAAATTGTTCAGATCCATGAACACTGACAAATTCTGACAAATCTTCCGATAAGCACAGTTGGCTCAGTATGTTGCAAAAGAAGTTCAAAATATATTCACACACAGAGACTTACAGACACCCAGCCCCATAGAGACCCACAGAGACCCATAGATTAGCATGGTTGGCTACGTATGGTGCAAAATTTGTTCAACATGCATACATATGTAGAGGAGTAGTATGGAGACATAACGTCATGCGCACGGTGAGGCGCGATGATGTCATGTCACCTCTGGAAACTTAAGGGGGATCGGGTGACGAAAGCGGGGTCGTTATTGGAGCCCGGGATGGAGAGTGTCTGAGGAGATAGCCAGGGGTAGGGCTGAGAGAAGTCTGCAAGAGCCGGCTAAAACTACGTAAAAAACACTCGCATTCATCAATAAGACTACCTTAAAAGGAAAAATATAGTAGTGGACGTTTCGGGCAATGTCCTTCTTCATATCACGTGTATAAATACGTGTGTGCTCTGAATAATCTGTTGAGTTGTTTTGTTATTTGTGATTGTGCACCACTGCCGACGCAGTGCCAGGATCACCAAACCAGTTGGTAAGTAAAACAAAGTATGGGCGCTAGAGAATGGCTTGATGCCGACATCACAAGAGATTGGTGCCAGAAAGATGTGGTTACTACTTGAGCATATTGGCACTATAAAGTAGAGGGGAAAGTGGAAACAAATTACGAAATATGCATTGGACACTTACTTTGGGCTATCTGCCAATGGATCGTGATGATGATTGACTCATAGAGACCCAGAGACTCAGTGATCCATAGAGACTCACAGATCCAGAGATATATGGAGAGCTATAGATACGCCTTGAGACTCCTAGATACCCATTGAGACTCGTAGAGACCAATAGGGATTCGTAGAGACTCATAGAGGAAGACCTAACACAGAATAAGAAAAGAGATTGAGCCAGAAAGATATGGCACTACTTGAGAATATTGGCACAAGACAGAGGAAAGTGGAAATAAATGACGGAATTTGAAGTGGACACCTCCTACAGGCTATCTGCCCATGAATCGTGGTGATGATGGTGAGGAGTGCTCAGGCGGGACACATCGCCAGAATGGACGAGGTCTGGTGGTCGACACTAATGATGAAGCGGAAAGCCAATGGTGAGTGCTCGCCCGAGAGATGGAGCGATGATGTGAGCGCATGAAGCTAAAAGGTGTTCTAGATATGTAAAATGAGATAAGGAGTAACTACATTGACTTAAATTTCGATTTAAAGCCTTCATGACTGCAATGATTCATCTTCTTTGGTTCTTTTGGTAAAGTCATGTAGAATGAGAATAATAATAAATTGATAAAATACATTGACTTGTGGAGGCATTCATCCAGCAGTGGATAGATCATGGATGATGATGAGGGTGTTGATGTCATTACTCCCGTAAGACAGAAGCCGAATTGTCTACGTTATTGAGCTCCAGTCTACCTCCGCCACTGATATCGATGCCCTGACCCCTGGTTGAGAATGAACTGAGTGCCATGAGTGGTGAGGGTTGGATGTGATGTTCAGTCATTGGAGACTAAGCTAGGGCTAGACTCATCGCACTTGAGAACATTGGCTATCCTGGATAGGAGTTACAAATGGGGCTTGAACCCAGGGCCCTGCTATTTTGGCTTGGCTGTTTCAACAGCACAGGCCTCCCCTTTAAACTGAGCCAGGTTTTATAAAACTCATTTGGGGAATGATGATGATGAATAGGATACCATCTGCCACTAGCAAAAACAAATAGATGTGCTCTAAACCTGCCTGCATTTATTTGTATGTGTGTCTATCCTTTGGTCTGTCTCCTTGGCACAGTAGGGGGCACAGGTGGTACATCGGCCAGTCACTTCAGTCAATCGACCCATGGCACCTGGGTTTGTCCCGTGACCTGTCAGCAGGCGTTCGATACTTCACGTGGTCTTAACGTACACGTATCCTGGCACTAGCGCCGTGGTGAAGTAACCACCACTTAGTGGCGAATGGCGGTTGTTAGCACAGTTGGCTATGTACGGTGGAAAATAAGTTGAACATACATACATACATGTGAACTCACATGGTGCAGACAGCTTGAGCTTCTCAATGACTCCACTCAGCCAGCTCACGTCACCCAAAGTCAAGTCACTCGGAGGAGCGGGTGGTGGGGGGTGCTCAGTCCTAAGCGCACAGGGGAGGGAGAGAGGACTTCACACGATTGTGTGTCAACACGCAGACGTACAAACAGTGCAGACACAGCACTGATACAGCACAGGGTAGATGAGGAGAATAAAATCACTTGAGGGTAGAATCCCGTAGGAGGTGGGCGGGGTAATGTTCAATATCAAGTTTATTTTGATTTGTAACACGGTTGGTCCCGTTTAACCAGTTGCCCGGCTATCTTACGAAGGAGATTTGTGGTGCGTGAGCACGGCAACAACGAAACAAAAACGTCAACGTTGCAGAGAACGAGTACAGGGTCCTTAAGGAATATTGCACAACTATGGACAGAGGAAGATGTATGCGTTGACGCATAATATAATATATACACAGACACGGGGAAACAGAGAAAAGACACGGAAACACTCAGCCACTGTGTTGCTAAACTCTGCAATACCCCCCCTGACTTTAGGTGGAAAAAGTCATTTTTAAGTAAAGATCCTATACAATAGACTGTGCCACTATAGGGTACAAGTTAGATATACAGTAGCAGAAACCAATAGTAGTAGAGACCAACAAAGGAGGTGGAACAAAGACATGGACACAGGAGACACACAGAGACCTCGCGAGAGAGAGAGACAGATATAGAGATAGACACAGTAACACTCGCTGATTCTTTGCTGAATTCTTTAAATCCCTTAAACGCCAACCCTTAAACTCCAACCCTTGAAACGCCAACCCTTAAAATCCGACCCTTAAACTCCAACACTTAAACGCCAACTTTTAAACCACCAACCCTTAAAACGCCAACCCTTAAACTCCAACCCTTAAACGCCAACCCTTTAAACACAAAACTTTAAACGCCAACCCCTAAACACTAAACGTTAAACACAAAACGTTAAACACAAACCAACCCTTAAACGCCAACCCTTAAACACCAACCCTTGAAAACCAACCCTCAAATGCTAATCTAAGCACCAACTCTTATAACACCAACCCTGAAACGCCAACTTTTAAATACAATCATTAAACGCCAACCCCCAAAACACTAATCCTTAAACGCTAACCAACCCTTAAACGCCAACCCATAAACTCCAACCCTTTGAACGCCAACCCTTAAAAACCAACCCTTAAACGCCAACCCTTAAACACCAAACCTTAAACGACAACCCTTAAACACCAAGCCTTGAAAACCAAACCTCCAATGCTAATCTAAACGCCAACCCTTAAAAACCAACCCTTAAACGCCAACCCTTAAACACCAACCCTTAAACGCCAAACCTTACATGCCAATCCCTCTCCTGCTAACGCATTCACATGGTGAGCAAACCCAGCCTCAGCCTGTTAGTGCACCAAGGTACCTCTCTGTCTTCTTCATATGACCCTGTGGAAGAAAAAATGGACAGATTTACCAATAATCCATATTTCTATAAAAGGGAAATTTGTGAATGTTTGTCCAAAATGTTTAGCATACTTCCCAACATGCAACAAACTTAAAATTTAGCATGTGGGTAGCTTCCAGACTGTACCCAATGCAAAACGTATGAAAATAGACTTTTGTATTATTGGGGGGGGGGAAGGGGGGCGCAATAATGGATATAATATATTGCACGGCAAGTGAGCGGTGACGTCAAATCTGTGATGTCACCCGCATGTGGCAGCGTTACGCAATGTGCCTATCGACGTCACGCACCCCCCCCCCCCCCCCCCCCACTCGACTATTTTCTGCTTGCTCTTAAATATAAAGCAGAAAATGCATGTGTTTGTGTGAAGCAGCAAAAACTACCGAACGCTGAGCTCTGACGTCATAAAATTTGCACAGCTTATGGTGTCTGAAATTTCTAAGGGAATGCGTACTCAGTTTGTAAATGTTGTGGCTTGGCTCTCCAACACACCGGTGTGCTGTACTAGTGATGAATTGGCATGTTCTGTTTACGTGACAACCCTTACTAGTTGGCTGTGTCGTGTGGTGGCGGGTTTTAACGACACATATATTTACGCGATCTAACCCAAACACCTCTATTATGGATGCTATTGGTCGCAAAAGCCTACGTGTAAAAGTGTACTAATAACAAGTTTTTCTTCCAATTCCGATGACGTACGTGTACATATGTGTACATCATCAGAAGTAAAATAATATAACTTTTATCAGCACAAAGGCTCCCACAATGCCGTGCAGGAGGGCGTTTGGCACAGTTTGGCGCCCACTATCGCAGAGTGCGGTCGTGTCGCTACCATTCTCTGCAGTGAGTATAATGTGTTTAAAACAAAGGTGCCATACCTCTCTGAATAAAATTTACGCTAACTGAAACTTGCAGACGGCTGAGAATGGGAAAGGGTTAACCACCTTTTTGTAGGACACCACATTTCTCTTTCTCCTTTCCTCACTAAACATCCTTGAAATTTCCTCGCTTAGTCTCTATTCCCAGGTTCCTATAACTGTGTGTTCGTTGTTATTTGATGTACTATAGAAGCTGTCAGTAGCCAGTCACTTTTTGGTCCAAGCTTGGGGCCTGTGCTCAGCAACCATGGGTGAATACACACACATAGATGTGTTAATATACGTTAACCCTTAGCCAGGAGTTTCTCTACTGCTGAGGGCTCTGTCAAACTGGGACACTCGCCCAGGCTCAGCGAGCACTCTACCTGCAGGAACGTGAGCGAGTCCCTCTCCTCATGCAGAGCGCGCAGGCGCGTGGCTTCTTCCTGGAGCTCACTGATCTCGCGCTCATAATGAGCGATGTTCTCCTCGATCATTGACAGCAGCTCGCTCCCCTTCATGTTCACGCGGTCCAGAGCCGCCCTCTCGTCCTCATTCAGCGTCGCCCTCATGCGAGTGAACTCGCCTGAGATGCGAGCCTTGGTCTGGACCATGGAATCCTGCAAAGGTTGTGTGATGGATTATATCAATTAATATCAGGGCCACATCACAAGGTGGGAGAGTGGGGAAAGGCTTGTTACCTATGCAAAACACTAAACCCAGACATTTAAGTCAGGCTAGGTTTATATTATGAGAATAGACTTTCCCCTTTTTTCGTTTTAACATCTTAACACCTATTCATATTATTGTTTTTTTTCGGTGAAGTCACGTAGAAGGGAAACAATAAAAAAATACAAATAAACATATAAAACAATAAAATTCTCACAACGTTTCGACTGCAGCACAAGCAATCATCATCAGGTGTGAAAACCACAGCAAGAATTTTTTTCTTGCTGTGGATTTCACACCTGATGATGATTGCTTGTGTTGCAGTCGAAACGTCATGAGAATATAATTGTTTTATATTTTTATTATTTTTTATTGTTTCCCTTCTCCGTGACTTTACCGAAAGAACCAAGAATATGAATCCCTGCAGTCTGAAAAGCTTTAAATGAAAATCTTAATACCTGTTTTGTTGCCAGAAATAAGGGGAACCCTAGTTGTATATATAGGTCTTTTTCCAAAATTTATATTAATAATGATTTTGCCGATTTTTTTTTTATCAATCGTGGTGTCGCTTGGAGGCCAGGGGGGTGAGGTGAATAACCCCTCCCCTCACAGCAGCCTCCCCTCACACACACCAGGCCGCCGGAGATAGCCATAAAAAAGTAATAAACCCAAAACAAAGAGAAAGGGGTGGAGGGAATTCCTATTGAGAGACAAAAAACCTCGCCAGCTTTCCGGGCGGCGAAAACCGGACAGACATGTTTTGGTTATTTGAATTAACAGAAGTCCAAGGAACTCAACAACAAGCATAAGCTGCCATTATAGGAATCTACACACTCACTAAGAAAAAAAATAGACTACAATCTACACATACATAATATTGATACTAACGTTATTCACCTTAAATTACACTACATCTTGCCGTTTACGTAACTTTACAAAAACCAAATAAATGAATTCCAGCAGCCAAGAAGCTTAACCGAAGCTTAGTTATACCTCTAAAACTCAGGACATCAAAGAATTGCTCAAGCATAACAGCACCGATCCCCGGATACAGACGGGGGGACGAAATTTATAAACCATAAAAAAATATGTGGTGATGACAATGTTAAATCACAAATCTTAAGAAACATAAACCAAATAAATGTATGCAGTATTAAACCGAGGGTTATCGAGAAGGGATGAGGCGAAAGAGGTCAAACTTACACAACCAAGATAGATATCCCATAGGGAAGGAGCCTCCCAACCGTCATTGTCTTCCCGCAGCACGGGAGAGCAAGGAATGTAACACTCAGAGCGAAGGAAATTAATATTTTTATTGCCGTGAAGGCATCTGGGCCCACTGATGAAGGGATGGCTTGAGGAGGGCGACGGTGATCAGGCCAGGGAGAGAAACAGATGGCTTAATAAATGACACACACACACGGACACACGTACAGACCCCCCCCCCCCCACAACGCAGAGCGAGATCAAAGGAATCCGGTCCTTTGTGAGAGAGCATGACGGAGTAAGCATCTGTTTTTTTTCCTCTCGCAATTGATGTGCAGAGGATAATTTTTTCGGATATAAACAGCAACACGACACACACAGTTCAGCTCGACAATTCAGCTCGACAAGACAGCTACCAGCGGGAGAAGACAGCGACCATCAGGTCGGAAGAGGACAGCAAGCCAGCTCTGGGGCATGGCCGCGAGATCAACAATGCGTGTGGTGCATTGTAGAGAAGAGGGGTGGCGAGGTGATGCTCTGTGCTGAGCATAGGCCACGCTGCGCTGATGGAGCACCACGTCGATCTGGATGGCACGCTACCCATTCGACAGAACACCTATCGAATGAGTTCTATGGAGAAGGTGCATATCCATCGATCAGTACAGGAGATGTTGAAGGCTGACATTATATCACCATCTACGTTTCAGTGGGGGGTACCAGTTGTTCTGGTCAAGAAATTGGATGGCACTCTGCGGTTTTGTGTAGACTTCAGACTCCTGAACAAAGTCACCTTTGCGGACGCTTACTCACTCCCGCAAATTGTTCAATTGTTGGATGCACTCGCAGTGGCAACATTTTTCTCCACACTATACCTTTTAGCGGGATTTATCCAGCTACCACTGGATGGCGAATCTAGAGCAAAAACTACGTTCAGATAATCTGAAGTTCTTTTTCAATTCAACTCTCTGCCGATGAGTTTGCAGACAGCTCCTGGCACGTTCCAATGGTTGATGGAGTTGGTACTTGCGGGGTTACAGTGGGAGTCCTGCCTCATCTATTTAGATGATGTAATTGCCTTTGGTTGCACGTTCGAGGAACACTTGGCCCGGTTGCAACAGGTCTTTTAGAAAATTTGGCATGGGAACCTTAAATTGAAACCCTCCAAGTGTCATCTGGTTTGGTCCTTGATTCAGTACTTGGGTCATGTCGTCAATGTGTCTCGGGTCGCAACAGATCTGGACAAAACGGCGTGCATACGTGATTGGCCCACTCCCACTTCTGTGACTGAGGTCCGCATATTATTGGGGTTTGTGTCATATTACGGCTGCTTTGTTGAAAATTTCGCCACATTCCTAAGCACTTGCATGTGCTCATGGCAAAGGGACAGACGTTCCATTGGGGTCAGGATGAGACTGATGCATTCTTCACACTGCGCCAGTGTCTGACAGAAGCACCGCCCCTAGCATAGCCCAATTTTCACTTCTCTTCGTCTTGGATATGGACACTAGCGATATGTGGATTGGGGCTATTATTTTCCAATCATGAGGCTAGGGAGGTCGTGATCACCTATGGGAGTCACGTCTTAGCACAGGCCAAACAGCTATATTCCATTACCCGCTGGGAGCTGCTCGCCACCGTCCACATTTTTCAACAGTTTCGCACCTATCTGTATGGCCATGAGTTCACTGTCTGGATGGATAATGTGGCGTTGCATTATTCACTTCGCATTGACCAGCCGGTGGGTTAGATAGCTCGGTGGCTTGAGCGACTGCAGAAATATTCATGCCGAGTGGCGCGCTGGAAAGGGTTGAGACACACGAATGCTGATGTGTTGTTCCAGTTACCAGCTCCCATTATGTGCACCTGTGGTGATGGGTTCCCACACCGTGAGCCTGCAGCCACATCGGCGCCTGAAGTTGTAGCCCCGATTCCCGTTAGGGACTCAGACGAGGTGGGGTCATTAGCATTAGTTTACTGCGACATAGGGCTGATCCTGGATGGATGGAGGGACCTCCATCAGGTGGATGCTGCCTTGGCACCGCTTCAGCAGCTGGTGGAGGTGGCGAGCACTGGCACACGACTGTAGGCCACAGGGTTTTGGTGGTGCCCTCTTCCCTGCGGAGTCAGCTGTATGCTCCATTTGGGCAGCCATAAGACATAGGCAGGGATACCCCTCTGCTATTTTTGGCCGGGCATGTCTGCTGGTGTTCATCGTTGGGTGATGGGCCGCTCGGACTGTGCGTGCAGGAAGCCTTCAGCTGCCATGCTACACACCCCCCTGCAAGCGAATCAAAGTCTCTAGGGTCAACAAGCTCATTGCCCTTGATATATTGGGTCCATTTCAAGCCACTCGGGGTTATAGATACCTGTTAGTGGGTATGAAATACATTACCCACTGGCCTTCACATGGCCGTTGGTCAATCAGACCGCGGTATCCATAACGAATGGCTTTGTTAATGGGTATGTAGCTCACAAGGGGGCTCCTGAACGCCTGTTGATAGATCAGAGGCCAAACTTCTCCGAGCTTTTACAGGATGTGTTTTACAGGATGTGTGCGACATGTTAGGGGTCAAGAAGGTGCGGACTTCCCCGTACCATTCTCAAATGGGTGGTATGGTGCACAATCTCGGAGATGTGTCACTTTGTGAACGCCACTCACTGTAGCATTAACGCAAGGCTCGCGGCACAGCTTCTGCGGCGTCCGCGTGAGTGCAGGCAGCGAACGAACGCTTGCGGGCTAAGTCGGTGACCATGGACCCCTTTGCGGTGGGTGACCTGGCTTGGTTGCACTGTCCACAGGTGCTGCTATGCACTTCGGCGAAACTGCATAAACCGTGGCAAGCCCCGGTCACTGTGGCGCTGGTACTTCAACCCTAGTGTGTCTGCATTTAGTTGGGGAAACGTCGGTGGTACGATCACCCCTCTTGGCTGAAACTCTACATTGTGGATGAGCCACCCCCTCGTGCATCCACATTTTCACTGCCTTCATCGTCACCTCGGTCGGGTGGTGAGAGGTTGTCATGCTCGTGGATGGCTGCTCGCCCAATGGACAGACCGGCTCCTGTTCCTCCTGCAGGGGTACAGATGAACGGCACACCGGGTGCAGCCGGGGATGTAGCCGCAACCCCGGGATGTGAACCGTGCAGCAGTGAGCGAAGACATCCCTGGGGCCCTCTCGTGTTCAGCTGCGGTAACTGATCCCGGGGGATATTAGCGACGGAGGCAGCTCACATGCTGAAGGGGGAAATTGTTTTTTTAAATATTTTTCTCTTCACTTGCTCTCTCTTTATTTTTGTGTGTGTCTCCTTGGTTCAACTGGTATGTCCGATGCTCGTGGGCATTTGTCCATTGTTTACATTAATTTATTCAGTTTTTTTGTACTGCTTTTCGCACTTGATTTCTTCAGATGTGTTGTCATTATGCGTGCATGGGGGTCCTGACCGTGTTGTGTTTTCTTTGGCTGGGGAGCAGAGTTACTCGGGCCTGGTCATGGCTCCATCTCAACAGAGGGAGGTGGGGAGTGGGGGTAAGGGGTGATGTCGAGGATGTCTCATCCATCCTCACACACTTGCACCGCACAAAGAACATGCATATCTTCCGCACTCGACATCACACATGCTGCACACATCAATCACGCACACGGGGAATACACCAAGGAAGAGTCGGAGGTCAGTGGTCACTGGCGGCACGCACACACAGCATGGCCAGGCAAGGAAAAGAGACTGGGGGTGTAAGCACTGACGTGTACGACACGCAATCCGATTGGTGAGTGGATGACTGATTGGATTGGTGCGGAGAAACGGATCGTAGAAGAGCCGGAAATTGGATGAGGATGATTGGTGGAGAAGGGCGGAGAGGAGGCTTTAAAAGGATTGTGAAACGAGGGAACAGGGTTGGTTTGAACAAGTATTGCTGTGGTATACAATTGGTGACAACGAAATAAAGAAGTTGAAGTACACCAACCCAAGTCTCCTATTCACTATTATTAAAGAAAACTAACTACACTGTAGTAAGTGCACAACTCTATGATGGTGTACTGTACGTGAACACGTGCTTTCAGATCAGATGAACCTGTGTGCAGTGTTGTCTCTGCTGAGCGAGGAGAGTTGTTGTGACCCCGGTGATGTTTTTGCGAGTAGAATGCTATTTGATTACCACAGCCTGCTGGGTAGTTGTTGAGGGTCGGGTAATACAACTCTCTGAAGCCTACGAAGCATAGCAGTGCATGGCTGATCGCTCTAACCCGACCCACAAGTTGTACAAATAAAATCACATTCCAATATCCACTCCATTTTTATAACATTTGTCGTATCTCTTCAGCTCTCGTGTTTGGTCATATTTTTTTAAAATTAATTGCTGGTCATTAATTCAATACAAGCATTGCTCCACAAAGTTTTATTATATAGGGCGCCACGGTGGCGAGCTGGTAACTACCTCGCCTGAAATACAGGATGGCCGTGGGTTCGATCCCGACCGTGACGCCTGTATATTTGGAGTTTGCATGGTCTCCTGATCAGATGTTACAAAGTACAGGGCTTGGTCGGGGAGACCAGGGATGACAGAGACATAAAATAAGTTTAATGACCAGGGTGTTGGGGCGATAATGGAATTATCTCGGGAAGAACATGTAAACTCTTAATATAGAGGCAGCAGTGTCAGCATTTAACCCACGAAATCCTGCATACCAGGCGAGGGAGTTAACATCTCGCCACCACGGCACCCAAACCAGTATGTGGGACAAACCATCACTATTTCCTTGGTTACCGTGGGGTTTTGTATAAATATAAATTGCGACTCTTAAACCCTCACACTGCGTGTGAATGTAATGCCACGTCTACACAGGTGAGCACGGGCTGCCGCGTGGAACATTCCAGGGCGCGTCTCGTGGTGTTTATAATTTAATTGCAGGTGAAGTCAGTTCGTTTCCTTGTTCGTCGTGGCTGCTCCGTGATTTTTGTATATCTCGCCGTGGTGACTCGGATATGTTAACTACCTCGCCTGGTATACAGAGATCGTGGGTTCGACCTGACCCGAACACCCGCTGCTGTATATTTAGCGTCTGCATCTCTCTTTCTCATCATAATCGCGGTGGCTAGGAGATGTTAACTATCTCGCCTGGTGCACAGGAGGTCGCTGGGTTCGATCCCGCCCCTGATGCCTGTATCCCTGGAGTTTTCATGTCTCTCCATTGTTCCGTAGTCGCATGCATTTTTCTCCAGGTCCTCCACATTTAGAATCAACATCACGCGTTTAGAGTAGTTGGCTGCTAAAAATTTCCACATGATAGATGATAAGCCGCTTTTTAAAATTTACATTTGTGGCCAGGTCGCTTCTGAAAAAGAGATAAAAGCTCAGTGGCCTTACCTGGTAAAATAATCGGAGTTTAGTTTTGAGTTTATCTCACTCATTGCAAGTCATTAAAGTTATCCTGCGACGTGATTTGCAGTCACACAAGAAGTGAAATTTGTATATAAACGTTGCATTTGGTTAAATATATATTTCAAGAACCCATAACCATAATACAATAGCCTACACAGCTATTACCCATTGACTCAAGACTAACAAAGTTCACTTGAATCTACGGAGTTAGTCTCACTGACTCCACGCAGGGTGGAGGTCACGGGGGCACAGTGCCCACACGTGGTACCTGCATGGCCTTGCGAGCGGCCTTCATCCGTCCCACGGACGTCTCCGCCTTCTTCCTCTTCTTCTCCACCGCTCGCGTCTCTGCTCCGACTCCACTCTGTAAGAGACGAAGTCACCAGAGGAGACTCCACTCCCTGAGCGGCTGCCTCTCAGCCCCATGCCACACGGAGCCATCCACAGTGGTGGCCCTGAAATGCCCATTAGAAAATATGCTAGCAACTCACCCTCTACTGACTGAACAGTCGGAAAAACAAGAAACTGTGGAGAGGAAAAAAACCCATGGTGATGATTACCATCAGATGTTGTTTGCCCAGTGACAGATTTTATCAATGTGTTCCGGTATCGTTTGAGTGGCTTGCATGCGCCCCATGAAGCACTTCACCTTCCGTGTCTTGTGCTCATCTTCCAGTGCGATGACATCATGTCGTTTGTGTGCACAAGTGATGGAACAGACCGTACACACCAGGCCGCCGTCCTGCTTGCAGTAGAACCGGTAAGGATCTTCATGCTTCTTGCATCTCCGTTCCTCCACATTAACAATGGGAGCCACTAGGACGTGGTCCTTAAACTTGGGGTTTTTAAGGTGAGGCTTCAGGTGGAACTCACACAAGGACATCTCACACCTGAGGCAGGTCTTCACTCCACGAGTCATCCTGTCATCACAGGTGTCACAGAAGACAACTCCGGCCATCCTCTCTCCAACTCTGAGCTGCTCCACCAGGTTTGCGAGCGCCACGTTCCTCTTCAGCTGGGGCCGCTCAGGGAACGTCGCTCGGCACTGCGGGCAGCTGAAGCTGCTCGCTCTCTCCCAGGCACCGTCCAGACACCGGAGGCAGAACGAGTGTCCGCAGCTCAAAGTGGAGGGGCACTCAAACGTGCCCAGGCAGATGGGGCAGCTCAGCTCACTGTCTACACAATCACTGGGAGACGCGTTCGCCATGGCCCATGGCTTCACTCGGACTCAGTCGCTCGCCGCGGCTCACGGAGGAGCTATCGCAGCGGCAGCAGCTGCTCACACAGCGGAGACGAACAAGGAAATGAACTGACTTTACCTGCAGTTAAGTTATAAATACGTCGAGACACGCCCTGGAATGTTCCACACGGCGGCCGCGCTCACCTTGTAGACGTGGCATTACAGTCACGCACTGTGTTAGCTAAAATTGCTTTTTGTGATTAGATTTTGTCCTTCCCCTGCACTTCCGATTAGCACAGTTGGTGTGGAATAAGTTCATCATATATGCATAGCTTTGACTGGTCTCAAGTGACATAATAATTGTACAAACAAAACCCAGCAGCCAGGCACACAGCGATAATGGTTTGTCCCACAGGCTGATTAACCAGCTAGGGTCAGGCTGTATGCATTGCACACAGTGGAACCGCACCTTGAACAAACATTCTGATGGTAATGGTTAATTTGTTTTTCCCCATCTGCGTCTCTATCCATTTTTTGTTTGTTTATTTAAGCTTCGCAGTCTGTAATCGTCTTCAACCTTCATCAACTAATATTTTACCTACTGGCTTCATGCATCCTCTGTTCATCTGTCAATAATTTTTTTGTTGTTTTATTCCTACGACACCATATTTTTCTGAGTGGACGGTGGTTGTATGTATGTTGAACTTCTTTTTCACTGTACGTAGTCAACCGTGCCAATCAAAGGTGTGTGGGTGAGTGTGTAGGTGGGTGATTGGTTTCGTGTGTGGGTGAGTGGTTGGGTGAGTGGGTGTGTGGGTGAGTATGTATGTTGATGTTATTTCGCAGCGTACATAGCCACTCGTGCTAATCGAAGGTGCGAGTGAGTGGTGGTGGTGGTGGAGGTTGAGTGAGTGGAGGGGTTATTTGGTGAGAGGGGAGACAGATGGGCAGGAGGATGGCTTGAAGGGAGGGCGAGCAGGCGGTGAGGTAGGGAGGGAGGGTGGCTGGGAGGGCGTGCGGTAGAGTGGTCAGGTCCCAGGGTGGGTGGTCTCACGCTTTACAACAGCGAACAGCCTCTGGCTGCGTAAAAATATCGAAGATTTAAATCTTCATAACCTAAACAATATATATTCATCACCTATTGTTAATGTTAATATTTTACATTTTAGAATTGCTGAGTTTGGACGATTCTATAAAACCTATATATTTTTTACCAGGTAAGGCCCACTGAGGTTTATTGATCAAGGACCACCACCAGCACCGTCTCGTACTCACACCACGTTGCATTGCGGCTCATGAAAGAATGAGTTGTTTGGTTTTTATTGTATTTGCCGAATTATAAAAAATTATAAACTGTCTCTCCTTGTTATTTTGGTTTCTGAACCCCCTGGTTTAGGGAAATCTTTTTTTGTAAACCTTGAATACGAACTGACAGCTGTGTGGTTTGCTGGGCAAAACGCACAGCCTCATCCTAGCCAGAATGTATTTTTTGTTTACGTGACAAACCTTACTCATCGGTTGTGTTGGATGGTGGCGGGTTAAACGACACTTTTATATTTACGCGATCTAACCCAAAAACAGGGTTTATGGATAATACTGGTCACGAAAGCCTACTTATAATTTTAAAGCCTTTATACAAATTTACACAGTGCGGTTTACAGTGGAAAAAACACAATCTGGTGTACAGTCTGGAGGACAAACCATCAACTTTTTCCTGGTTACCGTGGGGTTTTTGTAAAGATAAATAAATTTCGACTCTTTAACCTTAAACCATCAACTCCTTTCACCGGAGAACCACGTTTAATCACAGGCGACTGCTTGGAATCGAAAGCCCGCATCTCAGGATGTGTTATTTTCACGATTGTGATCATTTGATTTAAAGCTTTCGTGACTGCAGTGATTCATATTCTTTGTTCTTTCGGTAAAGTCACGTTGAAGGGAAACAATAAGATAATAAAATATATATAAAACAATAAAATTATCACGACGTTTCCACTGTAACACAAACAGTCATCATCAGGTGTGAAAACCAACGGCAAGAACATTTGAAAGAAGTGGCGGTTTGTATTTATTTATTTTTAAACGTTAGCACCACGGTTAGCGATTTGACAGTTTGTTTAGAAGGACGAGTCCATTTATGTTTGGAAAAGAGGAGGGGGGAGACGAAAAATTAATGTATGCTGTTTGAAAGCCACCGTAAGCGTGAACAATCAATTAAGACCCGAAATGGTTTATCAAATCCTTCCAATGATTGCTAAGCCAGAATCCATCTTCTCGGTTGAAATTGTCTCTGTATTTGTATATGTGGATAGCCTCATGAACGAATCTCTCATGGTAGCACGATGGCTTGCAAAGAACCTCTGTCTTGGAGAAGTCAATGTCATGTGAGCCTACTGAATTATAACAGTGATCTGCCACGGCCGAGGTGTTGGTCCTACCGTGTTTAAGGTCTGCTTTGTGTTCACAAATGCGGTCCGAGACATGTCGTTTGGATTCTCCAATGTAACTACTACCACAGAGGCAACTTAGTTTGTAGACACATCTCTTGCAGACGGAACCAGATCACGGATTTTATGTAATGTGTTGAAACAGACCTGGATCTTGTGTTTATTCAAGATTTTGGAGATCTTTTTTGTGATCCCCACAATGTAGGGTAAAGTGATGGTTTTGAAAGGCTCCTCAAGAGGGTCCTTCTTCATGGTTTGAGTGATAGCTTTGCAGATTGTATAGTCGGAGTAACCATTAGCCTTAAGAGCTTGGTGTACGTGCTTGAGTTCACTGCCTATGAGTTCCTGGTCGGATATGCATTGGGCTCTATGGTGCAGAGTCTTGACGAGGGAATTCTTCTGTGATGGATGGTGGTGGGAATTCGGTTTCAGATAAGCATCCGTATGGGTAGCTTTCCTGCAGACAGAGTGGCTAATTGAACCATCATGTCTCTTTTTTATTAGGACATCCAAAAAAGGTAGCTTGCCATCTTTTTCGACTTCCATGGTAAATCTGATGGCTGGGTGTATTGAATTAATGTGGTCGAAGAATTGGTCTAGAGCAGGCCGGCCATGTGGCCAGATGATAAAAGTGTCATCCACGTACCTCTTCCATAAGGTTGGGCGCAGAGTGAAAGTCTGGATGGCGTCAGTCTCAAATTTCTCCATGAAAATGTTAGCTATAACCGGAGATAGGGGGGAGCCCATTGGGGTGCCCTCAGTTTGTTTGTAGAAAGTTCCATTCCAAGTGAAGTATGTATTGGTTAAACAGTGTCTCACCAGGGGGGATACCTCAGTGTTTAGTCCTTGTTGAACCAAGTCTTCAATGATTGCGATGATGTCAGGTACAGGAACTTTGGTGAATAAGGAAACTACATCAAAACTGACAAGCAGGTCGTCTGGGGACAGGGAAATACCCTTGATTGTCGATACCAGGTGAGTAGAATTTTGTACCGCAGAGGTGGTTTTTCCAGTGAAAGGCCGCAGGATTTCAGACAGAAAACGAGCCAGTTTGTAGGTGGGGGAGTTGATAGTAGAGACGATGGGACGAAGGGGTGTATCTACCTTATGTATTTTTGGTAAGCCGTATAATCTTGGTGGCCTGGCAGCAGAAGGTTTCAACGAAAACTGTTTCGTTTGATCAATTAATGTGGTTGAATCAGAAATTATTTTGTTGGTTTGTATGACGAGGCTGTTGGTGGGATCTCTTTTTATTTTTGTATAGCTGCCATTGTCGAGTAAATCTTTAATTTTGTTGTTATATTCTATTTTATCTATGATTGCAGTAGCATTGCCCTTGTCGGCTGAGAGGATTACAATGTCATCTCTATTTTTAATTTATATAATTCAAAACGCTCATCTTTGCTGAGGTTAAATTTCGATTTATAGCTTTTGTGACTGCAAGGATTCAACCGAGAAGATGGATACTGGCTTAGTAACCATTGGAAAGATGTTTTCAACCATTTCGGCTCTTAATAAATTGTATTTTACGGTGAACGTCAGGCCGCAGCTCATTCACTGGCATTACCTTACCCATTCTAGATGTTAAGCTTTCGTGACTGCAAGGATCCATACTCTTTGGTTCTATTCGGTAAAGTCACGTAAAAGCATATAACAACAAAAATAAAAAAATTCACGACGTTACCAATTGTTTTCTTGGTGACTATGGTCCCAGCTGCCTTGAGATCATTGACAATATCCTCCCGTGTAGTTCTGGGCTGATTCCTCAACGTTCTCATGATCATTGCAACTCTGCGAGGTGAGATCTTGCATGGAGCTCCAGGCCGAGGGAGATTGAAGGTTCTTTTGTGTTACTTCCATTTGCGAATAATCGCACCAACTGTTGTCACCTTCTCACCAAGCTGCTTAGCAATGGTCGTGTAGACCATTCCAGCCTTGTGTAGGTCTACAATCTTATCCCTGACATCCTTGGAGAGCTCTTTGGTCTTGGTCACTTGATGAGGCCACTTGTGTTGTGGCCGAAACGTCGTGAATTTTTGTATTTTTGTTGTTTTATACTTTTATGTGACTTTACCGAATATAACCCAGTTGCCATGTGATTAATAGCTTAGCTTATTGAAGAATATATTAGTAATTTTTTATATTGATGTAATACAGACCCAGTTTTTTTTTCTGCACATCGGTTTACTGTATGATAGTTGGGTAGTTGGAGACCTTCAGCGTCCATACATTAAATGCCTCTGTTGATAGGGAAACTTTGACTCTAACATAGTTATTTCTGTCACAAGCCAATCCCTCAATTATTTCAATGCTAAATTATCCTTCTTTAATACTTAAACAACTTTGTCAAGAGGTTTCACGCTTCTCACCATGCTTATTAGACACTCATTATACAGTGTATTGTATACCCAGTTGCTTTGTGATTAATAGCCCAGCTTATTGAAGAATATATTAAGTTCATTTATGGTATTATGTAGTATAGACTTAATTATTTTCACATCGGTTTACTGTATGAAAGTTGGGTAATTGGAGACCTTTAGCGTCCATATACTAAATACCTCTGTTGATAGGTAAACTCTGAATTTAAAATAGCTATTTTTGTCACAAGCTAATCCCACAGCTATTTCAATGCTAAATTCTGCTGCTTTGATACTCAAACTCCTTTGTCAAGAGGTTTCACACCTCCCACCAAGCTTAAAAAGACGCCACGAATCTTAACAACGATCATTGGAGCACATCTAAATGCGCAACTTTAAATAAATATAGACAACACGTTGTACTTAATTAAATATACTTTTTAATAAATGTTTTCTCCTACAACATCAGAGTGCAGCGCCACATTAAATATGCACTACAATGACAATAGTTGAAAGCGATTTGAACGATGTTTCATTTTTTTGGGGGGGTGGGGCAGAGCTTTGTAACGTCATATTTGAGGGGGGGGGTCTGACTTTTTGTGACGCCGTGTGACGATTGGGGGGGGGGGGTCAAAATCGTCAAAAATCGCGTGACGTCTTTTATGGACGGCCCCATACCTGGTAAAGTCCAGGATGTAAAATTTTTAC